AATTGTTAATATCAAATCCTATATCTATAAAAATTATAATTGAGGAGTTAGAGCAAAATATAGACATATTCAGATGTGCTAAGAGTCAAATGAATATGAATCTTTTAAACGAATTATGTGAGCTTGCACTTTGGAAAAATGGCAAAATGGAAGATAAAGCCAAGAATTTTTTTAAAAATGGGCTGTAAGAAATAGCAAGTAGCAAAGAAACTGTTAAAGCATAGTTATGATTAAATTACTATTTATTGTAAAAAATTAATCATCTGAAATTAATGGTGAATTCCATGGAGAAAAAGATGCAGTACATGCTAATGTTCTCGTCTTTTGGGGCACAAAGGTAGATACATTGATTATATCTCTTTTTTTTTAACTTTTTACTATGAAAAACTTCAGGCACATAAAGTAGAAAGAATATTATAACAAACATTATTATACCCATCCTATAAACTTAATAATTCTGAAGTTCATTGCCCCAGCACACTCCAGTCTTTCTTTTTCTCATGTAATTCACTTGAAAAAACAAGGCAGTTGTCCCATAGAATGAAACATGATCTGGATTTGTTTGTTAACTTGTATTACCTTGTTCTTCAGTCACAATATATATCAATTAATTACTAAAGGCTTGATTAGATTCAACAGGGTTGTTAGGAATTGTTCTAAGTACTGCTGGGCACTCCACATTACAGCCCATTGTGAAGCACATTATGTCAAATTGACCCTTTTTACAGACGCTAAATTTAAGCAGTGGCTTCAGGTGGTGATAACCTGTTTTCTCCATTGCAAAGTGACATTCCCCTCCTCCTCCACCTCATAAAGGCAGATTATCTATTGGATGATAACTTGTACTTTGGCAAAATAACTCTTGGGTTTAAGAGGAACAAAAAGTAAATCAGAAACTATTTAGAAATTAACAAAATGAGAGCACTGTATATCATAAAGCCAGAAAAATACAAAAATGGCAGCAAAAATTAATTTATTTTTAAAAATCAGAAATTAATGAATCAGTAAAAAATAGATCTGGCCAATAAACAAACCAAAAGCTGTCCCTGGAAAAACAGACAAATATTTAGCAAGTCAGACTGAGAAGAAAAAGAGAAAATATGCATATAAACAACAGGGGCTATGTGAAAAATTTTAAGAGAAAAATGTGTTCTAGAAAACATGGCGAAATTCTGAAAAAATATAAATGACTAGATTGGTTCCAAAAGAAAACACAAATTAGTCAATATGAGAAATTCATCTATCAAAATTAGATAAATAAGCAAAATTAGTCTATTAATGAATGTAATTCACCACATTCAAGAGGAAAAGCATTATGAAAATAATAATGGCTAACTCTGATATGGTAATTGCTATGTACCAGGCTCTGTGTTTTTTTTTTGTTTGTTTGTTTTTTGAGATAGAGTCTGGCTCTGTTGCCCTGGCTAGAGTGCCATGGCATCAGCCTAGCTCACAGCAACCTCAAACTCCTGAGCTCAAGCGATCCTCCTGCCTCAGCCTCCCAAGTAGCTGGGACTACAGGCATGCGCCACCATGCCCAGCTAATTTTTTCTATATATATATATATATTTTTAGTTGTCCAGATAATTTCTTTCTATTTTTAGTAGAGACGGGGGGTCTCACTCTTGCTCAGGCTGGTCTCAAACTCCTGAGCTTGAGTGATCCACCCACCTCGGCCTCCCAGAGTGCTAGGATTACAGGCGTGAGCCACCGCACCCCGGCCCCAGGCTCTGTTTTAACAGCTTTAAAATTATTAACTGATTTAATTTTAATAAATACCCCAAAAACATTTGATTAAATTCAATCCTATTCCTGATTAAAATGGTAATATATATATATATGTAAAGAGAGAGAGAAATAAAGAGAAGTATCACTATTCTAGCAAAAAAAAAAGTTTTTTTAAGTACCTACTGGAAATCTACAGCAAACATTACACTCAACATTGGTATTAGACCTTTTCATATCATGTATCAGAAACCCAAATCAAAATGGTTTAAACAGAAGATGTACTTTTGCAAGTAACTTGGAGTTCTAGGGAATTCATCTAGATTGGCAATGCCTAGATCCAAAGTATTCCTGAGGTATAAAAGATTATTTGATTTCCAAGGCTATCATGATTTTGAAATGGCAATGTACCCTAGTATGTATAAACTAAGATTCCATTTACAAAAATTTGAAGCACACATTTTTCAGAAATACTTCAGATGCATGTGTGCCTTGGCCCTTTCATTTTGTCTGATTTCCAATTGATTCAAGATGACTGTGAATCTAGCGAAGCCGGGGGAGACCCTCCCCCCACCTCTTCCTTGCCTTATCCTAGTTATTCCCCGACTCCAATCTGTTCTCCCCCACCCCCTCATCATCACTCAGCCCTTGTTCAGAGTTTGCTTCTGGTCTGAATGAGATGTTGCCTGAAGAATTTCTGGATTTCTCCCCAGGCGTGCTCCTGGGCCGCAGCGTGGGCAGCAGGGACCCCTCCCCAGAGGGAGGGCCAGGAAAAGCCCCGGACCCAGGACGCGAAGCACAAAGGAGCGTAGGGTGGCTCTATGAGGTGGCCCGCGCCTGGGTACACTAGAATCCTTCCGCAGCTTCTGCCGTGGCTCTGCAGCTGGTCCATTGCCTGCTCAGCATACGCTTTGCTATCGATGCATTCGTCATCTTCTCCAACGATGAAAAGGATGCAGCCCTGAGCATTTTCAACAGGAAGCACGCTCTGCCGATTCAGCTCATCCCGGGGATCTCCGTGACAGTGGCGATAGCACACAGCTCCAGAGATGTGCACCTGCATGCGCTCCCCACCTGAGCGGATGGGTGTCACAACCAGATCCCGGTACCTGAGCGGAACATTAGAGACAGCGTTGAACCCGTTAATGCAGATGGTGGCTACCACTTGCTTCAGGTAGCAGGCCGTGGCCAGTGCGATCTCTGCACCCTTGGACAAGGAGAGCACTCCAATTCCTGGCTTTTGGATCTGAAGCACAAAACAAAGGGAAACCCATTATATGTCATACCCTGAGAAAGAGCTGTCCCACCCATGCCAATAAACCAGTATGATTGAAAGTCAAAGAATGTTGAGTCCTCCTGGTACTCAGGTTTACCAGCTTCTGTGACAGAGAACTTTACCTACTTGCCCTCTTTAAGCTTTACTGTTTTGTAGAGGTGATATTACCTACTTTGCAAGGTTGTTATCAGGATGAAGTGGGAAAAAACAGAAAAAAACACACTCTTCATCAAAGGTGGAGTTCTATAAATGCAAAGTCTAAAGCACCTGAGACAGGTAAGCTTCAGAATCAAATTCTTGCCAATAGCCAGAAAAAAACGTTTCTCTGGTTCTCTCAAATATTATGTGAGTGTAATTCACATTTAAATAGCATTTTATATCTACTAAGATTTTGCTCATGTATTAACTTCATGAATTCAAGGGCTAATTCTGAAAGCACTGGGAATATAAAGATGGAAGATTTGGATTCAATAAATAATTGAATTATAGTACCCAGCCCAGTAGGAAAATGTTGTAGGTTGTAGAAGGGATCATTAATTCCCTGATAAACTGAGGGAGCTCAGGGGATGAAAAGAAATCTAAGAGATGAGGGAGAAAAGAAGGGGACTCTGGACAATGAAGTACAAAGAGACCTAGTTTGTTTGTTTTGCTCACAATAGTACCCCCAGCACCTTTCTGTCATCAGAATTACCTGGAAAAAAAGTTTTAAAATTAGAGCTTTCTGAGATCCAATTTTTTGAGTGTCTCCTCTGATAGGTCTGATACCCAAGAATCTGATACTGTAAAATGTCCCCCAGGGAAATCCAACGAGCACAGGTTTGGAACCATCCATATGAGGGATGGATGAGGTAGTGAAGGCTGGAACTGAAAATAGGAAATTGATCGGTAAGCTAAAACAGTATCTGGGATTGGTTGAAGACTTGGGGAAAGAGAGAGAAGAGAAACCAGATGGGCAAAGATGACAAGGTGGATTTATTGAGAGTTTACCGTATGCTGGGCCCTAGGCCAAGTGCTTCACATACATTATCTCAGTCCTTCCAATAGTAAAAGTGAGATTCAGGAAGTTTAAAACACTTACCCAAGGTCACAACAGTGTGAAGGGGCAGAGGTGGATATTGAAGCTTATCTGCTGAATCTAAATCCAAATTGAATTTTTGGAAGTGACTTTCTTCCTCAGACAATGTCACAAATAGTTAAATTTGAAATTTAAAAAATTAACTTGAAAACATTTTATCTGGGATTTAATTCCTTTTAGGCAATCCTCTAAAAGGATCCAGATAGGCTTAGAAAAATCACACATATGTTTTATCCACCCTACAGATGAAGATGATGATGCTCGAACAGGAAACATATCCTGTCTCTCCTTGAGAAGAGTCAAGGCTCTCCAGGGTTGGGGTGGGAAAGAATGATGCACGTTGGGGAGTCAAGGTAATTTAATGATTTAGAGCAAAGACATTATCAGACTGGCTCTGTTACTTACTGCCTAGGTAGTTTTGACATATAACTTAATCTAAATATCCCTTCTTATCTAAAAAGTGAGAATGACATTGATAGTACTTACTTCATAAGGCCATGAGTGTTAAATGGGATAGTGCATATAAAGTATTTAGGGTGGAATCTAATAAAGTCAATCAATAAATGTTATCTGATATTATTGTTTTACCATTGTTAGGTTGATTCATAATGATAGGTGATATTTGAACATTTTTGACCTGCAAAACAATAATATGATTTAACACATCAACTGCCATGTGAGTTGTATTTAACTCATGCTAGTTTTGAGCCTGGGGCCTCGTGAAGCATTTGTAATTGACACATCTTTTTACTTTACCCTTATGAACTATTTTTCAAGTTGCATATAACTCACGCAAGAAAACAATAAAAGATAACACATTTTTCATTAAATTAGAAAGGATTGTTTTGTTTTTCAAAGTTTTTATTCTATCTTCTTAATAAAACACCATGGTGCCAAGGAAAAAAAATTTTTTCCAGTGTGGCAGTGTTTTAACTTCGTAGAATATCAATTCTGACACTTGATCGTGTGGTATTTATTCCTATCTTTCTCTTTTTAGTCATTAACACAAATGTCAGTACTTTGAAACCTCCTTAAGAGAACTAAATCATAACTCAACTGATAATTTAATTCTTAGAAAAAGCTGGGCTTAAGATATACTACTCTACTTTTCAAACTTTCATGTGCATAAGAATCACCTGGGGATCTTATTAACATGCAGATACTGATTCGGGGTGGAAAATGAGATTCTGCATATCTAATGGCTCCCAGGTGACACTGAGGCCATTGGTCCATGGACCACACTTTCAATAGTGAAATGATACTTGACAAAGAGTTCTAAAATGATCCTTCGTTTTCAGATTCCTGGCTCCTGGCATTAAACACTGGACATTTACTCTAGGTCTAGCTCTGTCTCCAGCTCTGAAACTATTAATAACTAAAGAGCTAATTCAGCTAATCAGATGATGCAGCCAAGTGAGTTTTGCTGATATAATCCTGCTCCAATCTCGTGCCCCAGGTCTAGTACTGAACCTCTACATTGTTCTTAATCTCAAGACTCTTTGGTGTGGCTTACTCTAGCATTCTCCCTACAGAGATAATCATTGAAGTTGGAAAACATGTCAAGCCAGAAAATTCATGATTTGAGATCAGTGGCTGATAAAACATCAATGAGCCACTTAAAAGTAAATTACAAGCACTTCAAATGCAAGGTGTCTTGGCTTGTTTCCACCGAAAATATCATACTATGCCCACCATTTATCATCTTCTATGTGACAGTTTGCACCAAACTGATCACAAATCAACTCAACAATTCTGTAAAGCAGATATTACCATTTCCATTTAACTGTCAGCTGTGCTATGCCCAAGTTTGGTGAAACAGGCAGAGAAGACATTTGTGACATGTTTTCTGTAAAGTTGCAAGGGAGAAAGGAAAACTATTTTAAATACCTTGGGGTAAGCTAGTAGCAAGTTGGCAGCTTCCTCAAAATATTCCAAGTCCACCTCCAGCAGTTTGTCAGGTAGGTCTTCATAGGCGATATATGCTAATGCCAGCACTGCAAAGCCACGGGTCGCCAAAAGACTGGCCCGAAATTCTATTAGATTCCCAAAGCCCCCAAACAAATCAATGACTCCTGGGAAAGGGCCTTCCCCTGAGAACACAAAGAGGGAAGAGAATGGGACCAGAAAGAGTGAAAAGAAGGTCAAGTAGATAGCAGTGAAAGTATCAGCCAAGCAAAATTAATTCCATCTTCACACACACATACACACTAGCATATCAGTTTTAAAACATTATGAGAAATGCTGGTTCTCCAATAATTTGATGCCAATTTTTTTTGCTGTTTTTATTTCCATCAACAATGTTTTCCGCATCATGAAAGATTAGTCTCACCTGGAGGCAGAAAAAGGGCTCCTCGCACTCGACCTTCTCGGATCTGCTTCCTCTGTATCCCAGGGCCGGAGAACCAGCGCTGCACCATCTGGCTGGCCCTTGGTTGAACTGTGGCTGAATCATGGAAGCAAATGTAATCATATAGGTCCAGAGTGACCCAAAAGGGGCTGTTCATCACATCCTGCTTGAGTAATCTCTGGAAAGCCTTCTTAGGCTTCAGAGACCAGAAGAGGCCCATCAGATGGACCCCCACATAGTCGCCACCGAGTGCCAGCGTCTGCTCCAGGTCCACCTCACCAGCCTCATTGGCCCTGTAGAAGGCTTTGGACTGGAACAGATTACCCTTCTCATCCTTCAGCGAGGCCTTGAGGGTCACCACCTGGAATGGGGGTAGGCCTGTCACTTGGATGTGCACTGAATCATCTGCAAGGGCACTTGCTGGTGTGGCTGTCAGCTGGAACATTGGCAACTGGCAAGGGGACCAAGTGGTGCTTCCTGCCCTGCAGAGAAGATGGTGAGTTAGAGACTTATATTCCAAGGAGAGGTCGAGACAAAGCTTACATTGGGTCTGGCCAAATTAACTTTTGGAGGAGGAAGAGAGAGGCATGCAGAAAGTACTCATTGTACTCATTTTACAGATGAGGAAATGGGTTAAGTGACACGCTCCAAGTCTCATAAATAGTTGATAGCAGAAACGGGAATTCAAGCTATATCTGACACCACAGTCTCCTGTGTTATCCAATATGACACTAGTAAATCCTAGTTGTGTGGTTTTGAGTAAATTGAGCTTTAATTCTTCCATTGAAATAATACCCATGTGACCTATTTCACAGAGTGTTTATTAGGATCCAAGGGGGCGGGGCAATTTGTAATGCATGCCAAATTGTTCTGAAACAGCCCTGCTTTCCTTTTGGGTAGGGGTGCAGAGTTACATAAACAAGCAATCTATTGTGGTTGTCTTTTTTTTCTTCTTTTTAGTCTCTAATCTCTATCTGCCATGGTTAGACCTCCAGCTCTTTGCAGATTTTCTGTTATTTTTTTTTTTTTAAGGAAAATAAAACTGCATGCTCTTGTCTCTGCTTTTAAATCTTTCCAATAGAGTGATAAATACCAATGCTGTTTGTAGTAAAGAGACTATAATATATATTTGAACAGCTATTTTGTACCCTGTCCCATTAGGAGGAAAATTTAGGGTCTTCCTTCCTTTCTTCCTTCCTTTCTTTTTGCCCTATAGCTCATTCCACAAAGGATTTGAACTTGTTCACAGATAACAGATAAAGAGTATAATAAAAATAAAATAGGATCTGGGAAAATATAAACTCGAATCATAGGCATTTGTTATAGAAAACCTGGAACATGAAAAAAGAGCATTTTGTGGGCTGTAAGTTTGGTTGCAAACTGCTGACAGCTAAAGGAAAAGAGGCTGCCTTGTCAGTTTCATTGTTATAATTATTCTCAAAAAAATTTATCGGTCCCTTAGGAGAAAGGAAAAAATGAGGCCCTTCCAGAAAGGCCTTTAGCTCTAAAACAAATTTCTCATATGAGACTTTGACATATGTGTGCACCATTTGTTCAACCATTTTTTTCATATCTTCACAGAAATTGTAGTAATAGGTGTCTCTCATAACAGCTTGATTCTCCAAGAGGTCCTTGATTTTATTTTGGGGGAAAATGCAAAATAAAGGCCTTGGGTTATTTGTGGGCAGAAAAACTCCTATAGATAATAAACAGGCTCTGGCAGTGCAGGAGCAGAAAAAGGGCTCTTGTTGTCCATTTTTCCACTGTAGAAAGGGGATTGTCAGAGGTAGCAAAGGGTCAAGGGAAAATGCCCTTTTGCATTTACTTTAAAAAAGTGATTTTTCTGCAAAGGACACACTCTCTACCCCTGATACCCCACTAACAGGATTACTGACCATTTTATATAAACTTAAATTCATGGTCAATGAAATAATTTTGAATAAATAGAATGATTGTTTTTTTTTCAATGTTGGGAAAGTTCTTGACAGAACAAAGTAGTGGGATTGATCTAAACTTCATGAGTCTTTTATTTATGTTAGGGAGGTGGAACATGTAATATAAAAAGAGTGTCTTGTGTCCCGTGCAACATATCAGTGCTCCGTAGGTGTTTTCTGATCTAATTACTTCCTGTAAGCCTCTGTATTTTCTGTTCCCTTTGTCCCCAAAAAAGAGATCATTAAGAAGGCATCATTGATTCTCCCTCTCCTTGCTATTATTCTCCTTCTCAAAGCTTCAAAATAATATATTGACCCCATACAGATTTTATTTTTATAGTTAGTTCATATGAATTTCTTACTAGAACCACTCTACAGCATGCATTCTGTATCTAGTCTTATCCTCCCAAGTGAACTCAAAGATAGCAACTATGTGTGAAACTTTAGGGATCTTATTGACTATCATGTAGTAAATTATACAGTGTACATACTCATGAGTTGTATTGTAAGATTCATAATGGGGCAGAAAAAAATAGCACCAAAAATGTAATAGAAATAAATACTCTACTTATATAGTACTTTTGTGATAGAAAATTTTGGAATTTCTTCCCAAGTCATGGTTCCCCTTTATCTGAGAATAGTCTTCTAAAGCCCAGAGCTGTGGACACTTAAGCAGCTATGTTTGTACCATGTGGCTTCAACCCTGGAGCCATTATTTATTGTATCAGGGCTGGATATCTGATTCAAGATGTGCCAGCAGGAGGTAGGAAACCTGTATACACATATAGTATATCACCACTACAGCCTACAAATAATTAGCAGTTGAGAAAACCACCACATTAGGCTGTCCATTACTAAGGAATGAGTTCAGAGCCGTGGCCATCTCAAAGTACCCATAAGCAAAGCCAAAGGACCTTACTATATATATGCTACAGTCAAACCCTTAAAAGGGAAAAAAAATCCCATCTAAATTAAAGTCAAAAACAAGAATTGACAGGAATAAATACAAGAATGCTGGAGGTATGAAAAAATAGTGTAACAACACCCCCAAAGAGACACACTAGCTCTCCAGCAAGGGACACCAACCAAAAAAATATACTGAAATATTAGATAACACACTCAAAATATGGATTGCAAGTAAGCTTAATGAGATCCTAGAGAACTTTGAAAACCAACACAAAGAATCTAAAAAAATAATTCAGGACATGAAAGAAAAATTCATTAAAGAGATAGATATTTTTAAAAAATATAACAGAACTTCTGGAATTGAAAGATTCATTTAGAGAAGCACAAAATATAGTGGAAAGGTGTAACAACAGACGAAACCAAGCAGAAGAAAGAATTTCAGAGCTTAAGACAAGGCTTTTGAATTAACCCAGTCAGTCAAAACTAAAAAAAGAATTTTAAAAGGATCAAGTCTTTAAGAAATATGGGATTATGTGAGACACCCAAACATAAGAATTATAGGTATCCCTGAGGGAGAAGAAGAAAAAGGAAAAAGCATGGAAAATCTATTTAAGGGAATAACGGAGGAAAACTTCCCAGGTCTTGCTAGAGATTTAGACATGTAGATACAAGAAGCTCACTGAACTCCTGAAAGATTCATTGCACATAGGACATCACCAAGGCACACAGTCTTCAGATTGGCCAAAGTTAAAGTAAAGGAGAAAGTCCTACAAGCTGCAAGACAAAAGCATCAAGTAAGTTACTAAGGAAAACCTATCAGACTAACAGCAGACTTCTCAGAAGAAATCTTATAAGTCATAAGGCAATGGGATGTTTAGTCTTCTTAAATACCGTAACTGTCAGCCTAGCATTTTGTATCCTACAAAACTAAGCTTCATAAATAAAGGATAAATAGTCTTTTTTCCCCAGAATACTACAGGGGTACACACATTTTGGTTATATAATTTGCTATTGTACAGTTTGAGTTAAAGTTATAAGTATGCCCTTCACCCAGATAGTGTGCACTGTACCTATTAGGTGTGACTTTACCCATCTCCTCCTCCTCCCTCCTACCTACTTGATTTATGTTGAGTTTTACCTCCATCTGTGCCCATAATTGTTGATTGATTTGTTCCAATTTAGTATTGAGAACATGTGGTGTTTGTTTTCCCATTCTTGTGATACTTCAGAGTACTACTCAGCCATAAAAAAGGTGATCTAGTACCTTTTGCAACAGTCTGGAGAAATAAAGTCTTCCCCAGACAAACAAATACTAAAGAAATTTGTCACCACTAGACACACCCTACAAGAAATATTTTAAAAAGCACTACACATTAAACAGAACGATCAATATCCACCAGTGTAAAAATATCACAAAGTAAAAACTCACAGTTCTTATCAAGCAGTAACACAAAGGAAAAAACACAGCAACTAGGAAACATCAACATGATGACTGGAATAGTATCTCATATATCAATATTAACATTGAATGTAAACAGTCTAAATGTGCCACTTAAAATATAAAGATTAGCAGAATAGATTAAAAAAACAGAACCCAAATATATTCTGTCTTTAAGAAACTCATTTAACTTATAAACATTCTCACAGACTCAAGGTAAAGGGGTAGGAAAAAAATCTAAAATAAATGGAAACCAAAGGCAAGTAGGAGTAGCTCTTCTTATATAAGGTAAAATAGACTTTAAGTCAACAGGAGTAAAGAATGACAATGATGGTCATTATATAATGATAAAGAGATCAATTCAATAATTTAAGTCCAGAAACACTGGACTTAAATGGGACTCTAGAACAAATTGACCTAATAGACATTTACAGAACATTTCTCCCCAAAACTACAGAATATACATTCTCATCAGTGCATGAGATATTTTCCAATATATACCATATGTTAGGCCACAAAACAAGTCTTGACAAATTAACAAAAAATAGAAATAATATCTTGTATCTTCTCAGACCACAGTGAATGAAATTAGAAATCAGTTCCAAGGGGAATTCTCAAAACTACACACAAACACAGGAAATCTGATGAAATCAAGATGGAAATAAAAATATTTTTTGAATTAAATGACAATAATGACACTAGCTACCAAAATCTCTGGGATACAGAAAAAGCAGTGCTAAGAGGGAAGTTCATAGCACTAAATGCCTGCATCAAAACACAGAAAGTTCACAAATTAACACCTAATGTCACATCTCAATGAACTAGAAAAAGGAGAACAAACCAAACTCAATGCTAGCAGAAGAAAGGAAATAATCAGATCAGAGCAGAGCTAAACAAAAATGAAATCAAATGAAAAAATACACAGGATCAAGGAATGAAAAGTTGGTTCTTAGAAAAGATAAACAAAATTGATAGACCACTAGTTAGTTGAACCAAGAATAGAAGAAAGAAAATTCAAATAAGCTCAATCAGAAATGAAAAATGAGACATTAAAACTGGTATGGCAGGAATACAAAAATATCATCTGAGACTACTATGAAAACCTCTATGCACACAAACTAGAAAATCTAGAGGAAATAGATAAACTTTTGGAAACATACAGCCTCC